CAAGAAGACCCATTAGTCTAGACCAGTCCCTGTGAGTGCCACAGTCTCTTCTGCATACATCTGGACCCTAATGGAGCCAAAGATGCTAATGCTTTTACTGTTAATGACTGATCCTCTTTAAAGGCATGGCATGAGTGTGTGTGTGTGTGTGTGTTAAAAAAATAAATGCATGCAAAATCACACATTGCAGATTCAACACATTAGACAAAACACATATTGCAGGCAAGGTAAGTAAGAAAATGAGAATGGGGGATGGGAATAAAAGGTAAGAAGTAAGTGCACACACATGACAAAGGAGGGCCTTGCAGGGATGAATGAGGAAATGTGTCATAAGATGATGTGATAAATTCAAACCCTGCACATAACATTCAAGGAAGGTAAAAAAGAATGAGGATGACTTCCTAGCACTCAGACATAAGACCTGAGGAAGAAATCAAAATTTACGCTGAGTCTCAGGCAAAGTCCTATTTATTCAGTTATTCATTCCTCCAACAGACAGGTTCATGAGCCAAGTACTGTGCAGGTAGAACTGCTCTAGGAATGATCTCTATCCCCAGGCAGGTGAGGCCACAGAGGATGACAGCAAAGGTGCTAAGAAGAGCAGGAGGAAGCTGTTCCTCGGAAGACAAAAGCAGAGTATGAGTACTGGAGAGGGTTACAGGAGATTCCTGGGAGCGTGAAGAGTAATTCTTTCCTAAGGCAGCCCAACAGTGCAAGAATGCAGTGTGGTGAGGTGAGGGGCTGAGAGGATTTTAGTGGAGCAGGAAGACGGTATGAGTGAGGTGGAATTGGCAATACGCGAGGCCTAAGTTCGGTGGAGTCAGGGAAGCCAGGCTTTCGATTGGAATGTTGGTGCTTGGCATCAGGCAAGGGCGTACACAGCAAGGGGATCCAAATCCGTCACTGCTGTCACATCAGCCTGAACCCAGTTACAGAAAAGCAGAGAATTCAGCCCGATGTTGGGAAGAGAAAAAGAGGACAATAAGTTGAGAAATATTTCAGGAAGGAAGTATTATCCAAGCTGAAATTAAAAGGGATTTGGGATTTGGCTGGCATAGAAAGAAAGGAACTGAGGACATTCCATGCAAGAGAAAAAAACATGAGCAAGAGAGTTGCATGTTGATGTCTAGGTTGATGAATAAAAATATCAGAAATCCCAAATCATTCACGACTAATAAAGAGCCTTGGTAAAAATCCCCTAGATTTAGTCAAATAGTTTATTTTTAAAAGCTGATTCTGTGCATTCTCTACCTCTGTGGCTCCAGCTAGCACCAACCCCTTCTCAGAATTAGAAAATTAACCCACTTTATGATGGCTAAACAGGGTCTAAAATGATGACTCCTCTTTCTGTAAGAGGAAAGAAATGTAGAAACAAAAACCTTGTTTTAAGAAGATGGGGGGGGGAGCAAACTCCCTCTGGGTCTGGTGCAGAATCAAATTTTACGAGTTACTCAGCAGCAAGCAAGGCACAGAAGGAAGCTGGTGTGAAACTGCCTTTCAAAGTAACTGGAATTGACAACTAAACTCCCTCAGCTAGGGGGAGAAAAGGAGTTAATAGAGGCAGAAGTCAAGCCTTTCATCCTTCACCTGAGTCTGTCCCTTTCATATGCTAAGTGCAGCTCAGGCAGTGGGGTGAGAGAACTCAACACTATCATTAAAAAAATATCAGCACCCAAGTTGAAGAGGGCATTTGTTCCTGAGTCATATGCCACCCAGGATTACAATGGGTAAGGTAATAACAGGAAAATATAGCTTCCTCATGCCAGGCCTGCTGTGTGGGCTGTAATTACCCAAACAAGGGCAATCTACTGAAGACAAGCATCCTCTCCCATCCCCAAGTTCACAATGCCTCAGTTGCTCAATTTCCACATGTGGCAAAGGATTCTGGCAGGTAGACATCTAAGCCTGGGCTTGGGTTGAGGAGACAGGTTGTTCCCTGGCCCCAACAAAGAACCAGTGAAAAATGAACAGTTAGGCTGTTATCAGCAAGGAGGATCCAAACAACCCGGAGAAAAATCCAGGACATTCAGCCTGGGAGCCTTTTAAAATGTTCTTTCAACTTTCTAGTTTTGAGAAGTTGGTGCGCGTAGAAATCAAAAACACATCCAATGGTTCTCTAACCTGGTTACCTGCTAGCATCACTTTGTGTACAAACATTTCATTGTAATACTTCAGCCTAATCCAGGCCAATTAAATCAAAATAAGCAGAACTGCTTTCCAACAGTTCTTCAGGTGATGCAAATGTGCAACCAGGGCCCTCCCTGGTGGCAAAACAAGTTAAAGTGCAACACTATGAAGCTATCAACAGTCACTGCAGCACGAGTTTGATCCCCTGCCAGACCTGTCTAGCTCACTGCTCCTCCCAACAGTGTACTTCATCAGTCTGCCTGTTCTGCTCCTGACTCTTGTCTCCGGTGAATCCTCTCATCACCCCTGCAACTCTGGTGGGTACCCCAGTTCTGTATGCATAAATAAATATATATATATTTTAAAAGATGCAACCAGTGTTAACAGCTGCTGTCTACTAGACCAAGAGTTATTTAGATTGGATACTTTTGTACCTCTGGTTTTCAGTTTAGCTCAAAGTAATAATGGCTACTAAATGAATTTCTTTGTCAAAGAAAACATACATTTCCATCTTCATGAGCTGGAAAGGCAGGGTGTGAAGCTGGAGGAAAGCATTAGAGTCTTGTATCAAAGTCAATGGTAATAATAGTAACTAATAACTCATCCAGCAGAAAAAAATGCTCACCCTAGAGAAGGGAGTGTTAACCCCCCCAGTCAGAAGTCAGTGTGAAAATGCACACTCAGAGGCAGTAAAAGTGACATCCCACCTCCCACATACCTCAAGTCCAGATGCCACATCCTCCAATGGGAGCTCAAAGCCTCCCACTTACTTCTCGGCTTTGAAGTCCCATGTACTGAGGGTGTATGAGGCCTCATTTATTTTCACCATGTCTGCAGCTATTGAATGTGTAAAATGAGGATGCCTGTTAAGACAGAACCCATTCCCATGGGTTGGGCAGAGTCTCAGCATTGCAGCTTTACATCTGAACTGTTAACTGGGGACAATCATTCTACCCAAAACAGGAAGCTGGCAGCTAGCCCACTGTGTGTGTTCCTCAAACTGGGGTCCACTGGCATAGCCCCAATTTGAGCATAACTAAAAGGCAAGAAACACTAACATTCTGAATGTTAGGATGTTCTGAAGAAAACTTTCATGTTTCTACACTATAAAGGTTTTTTGTTTTTTTTTAAAGATCAAGAAGCAAAGACTGGAACCATTCCAACGGCTGGCAAGTGAATGTCCTTATGAAGTCACCCTGACATACAGAGTAAATCTTGAGTTTCCAAGATGGGGTATTGTATTTTCTCTCTCATTGTAACAAAGGTGAGAATAGAAAGAAAATGAGAAGAAAAAGAGCATGTTTTTGTGTTCCCAATTTCTATGGTTATACAGAGATTAGAATCTGATAGACCTAGACTTTAATTCTGACCCTGTAATTTATGTGTTGACTGGTCTCAAACATTTAACATATGAATTTCAGGTTTTCCATCTGTAAAATGGGAATAATGATATATAGCATCATTAAGGGTAAGCAGAAAGCAGGCATGGATTTTCTAGATAGCATGGATAACACAGTACCTAGTAAACAACAAATAAACCATTAACTATTCATCGTTGGACATCCAGCTGAAGATTTGCTTACTTTGTGACATTTCCTTGACAAAAATGTTTACCTACACACACACACACACACACTCACACACACAGGTTTTGTATTTGTAGCTCCGGAACTCATAGTATGTAGCTAGAGCTTAGTCATTATTATTGTAATTACTTATTTAAAGGTATATAAAGATTGTCTTAAGGAAAGAGACCATGTATTTCTGACCTAGATGTCTTAAGTACACTTGGTTCATCATATGTAGTTTTGAATGAACAAATTAATAAAGCAATCATTCATTTACCTTCACAGTTATATTGAGATGGTAAAACATGAAAAGGAAGAGACAGAAGAGGGAGCACACAATCATGGTTGAGTAGGAAATGAACAGCAACAGAATACTGCTTTGCAGAGCTTTCTAATTGTACTTAATCATGGATAATCCTTCTCATAGGATTTTCTAAAGGAAGGGAGGATGTTCCTCCTCAGGGGAGGAATGTTCATATAATACTTAAAAAAGATTAGTTGGTTGTGTGCACACAGTCCTCTGGAACAAGCCCATCAAAAGACAGATACCTCCCTGACATTACTAAAGGACAAAAGAAGCTAAGTCAAATCAAGAACCCTTATCTTTCTCCTCCAAATCTAAAAAATTCTAGGCCTGAGTATAAAATATCACCTCTTAATTTTTACAGTGGTCTCCATTCCATCTTGCATATCATTGTCTGTAGATTCTGCTTCTCAAAGCCTCCTCTTATTCTCACTGATCTCCATTTTGATTTCATCCCTGCCTAATCCCTAAAAGATGACTACAAAACATGTATTGGTGGCACTACTACAGCCATCTCCTTATGAACATCCCACTCCCCATCCATTCTCAAAGTCTCAACCTAGGAAATATGCTCATACCAGAAGTGTCCTAACCATTTCCATGGTCATGGGAGATAACCGGAGAAACAAAACTCAAGGACACAGTTACAAAAACTGGTAAAACTGTTGTCTCAGTCACACAGGCATAGGAAAATCCCCCTGCCAACCAGGGTTTTAGCAGATGGAAAAGTCATCTAAAAAGCCTGCAATAGGTCCATAACTATACCCTAAGAAAGCCTGCCTGACAAGAAATATGGAGACAAAGTGCTACACATTTAACTGCAGTCTCCAAGTCATCTTTCACAACTGTGGGAGTTAGCCATGGAAAAGTAGGCCTGCTGAGCAAGCCATTGACTTTTATCTTTAGACTTCAACTGCTATTCATCAGCATCAATATTTTAGAGTTTAATCAACTCAGCCCTAGTCAAAGTCCAGAACATCTACATCAACATGAGGACTTACCGCATCCTGACAGCTGAGGACCTCCAAAATGCTGTTGAGTAATTCAACACAATACCTCTTCTCCTGGACCTGGTGTTGCTGCTCGTCAGTCTGTTCCAGCAGCTCCTTCAATTCTTTGGTGATGACAGGAAGCAGAATGTCTCGGCATTCTGGAATGAAAGCAGTTCAGAAACATTTGAGTTTCCTCAGTTTTTGGTTTCTCTTCTTTTTTAAATATTTTTTTTTCACTGAATAAATAATTCATAGATATATCCTGCTTGTAAAATATTTACTTATTAAAGATTAGGTAAAGATTTTCGTAGGGCATCATTCACAGTCTGGCACTTCCCCAAGCCCTACTCTATATAAGCAACCAGTTATTTTTTATTCTACTATGTATGTTTATCTGCATATGAACACATATATGTATGTTCATACGTGTATATATACAACTGTACCACTATGAAGTATGTGGTAACATTTTTATTTTCATTTCAGCAAGTCATAATCAAACTGTGATGGTAAGCCTTCAAGATCTTTATATACATGTGTGTATCTCACATAGGTATATATCAATATAAAACATACAATTTTGGTTTCATTTCTTTTTTATAAAAGTGACCATTTTATTGAAGGGAACAAAATATATATTTTTCTGTACCTTGATTTTCTTTGCTCACCAAAATTTCTTGGAGTACTTTGTATGTTTATACACATAGAGATCAATTTAAAATTTTATAACAGTTTTCAGTATTCTCTTTTATGGGTAACTTGTATTTGCCATACCCCTTGATGGACATTTTTCACATGCACCAACAGTTTAAAAATGAACTTCTCTCTTACATCTTTGCCCACAGTAGTTTCCATTTTATTTTTTACCCGAACATTATTCCTTATACCCTTTGTCCCATCCCCCCTCCCCACCTTAACACAAGAGTCCTCATAGGTGCTTGTTGGAAATACTTTATTTTATTGAATGGATGCTATGGAAATAACCAGTATTTGTTCTAATCTCTCTAACTTGATTTTCTACAAATAGTTGCTCAAACTCTCTCTACTTTGTTGGAAAATGTTGCATTTTATCCCTTCGTAAGACCAAAGAGTACTCCACATTTTGACCCTATCACCCACTGATGGACATGCAGGCTGCTTTCATGGCTAAACTATTGTAAATAACACTGTTCTGAATATAATGGAACATTATTTTTTTCTTTTTGTATTGATGGCTTCAAATTCTTTGGTTAGATGCCCAAGAGTGAGATTGTCAGTATTGCTTTTATTTTAAATGAAACTTTTGCAAAGAAGGCTATGGCTCTTGGTATTATTGTCTCTGAAAATTTCTGGAAAGTTCTAAAATCCTACACAACTTTGTTTCTATATTGTTCTTGAAAACAGAAAAAAACTTGAGCTACCCACCCCCAAAATTCCAAAAACTTTTCAAGTCATCCCCACCAAGTTATTCTTGAAAAAACTGTAACTCATATATACTAAGTTTTAACTTTAATTTAAAAAAAATAAATAGGAAGTGAACATATTGATATAGAAGGCTTTACATTTCTGGAAGCACAGTGTTCTCACCTACTAGATACTAAAATCTGATAGCGACTAGCAGCAAAAACCAATAGCAAATGTAGAAAATAGAACAAGATGAAAGTGGGGAAAACTAGAGAACATCTCTTGCTCAGTCTGCCCAATATCTGTGCTTTCTTCTTCTGGCATCTGGATTTCATTCTGAAGAGTCACCTGCTATGAAATATAATTCTGGAGACACTTTTCTAAGTTACAGACTGGACACGTACCTTTAATAATAATAATAATTGTTGACATTGTGCCAGGCAGTGTTTTTAATACCTTGCATAAGTATCTTTACTTAAGTCTCTCAGTGACACCAGTACGTAGATACTATTATACCCTATTTTGTTGACAAGGAAAGAGAGGGACTTGCCCAACTATATAAAACCAGATATTCATGAGCCCATAATATTGCCACAGGAAGTATAGAGATTAAAGAATAGAGAGTGACTTAGAGTACACAGACCTAGGGTAAGTGGAATAGTCTCCTGGAAGTAGAATGTCAGGAGATGACTTGTAAAAGGAAAGTTCTAAAATGTAATAGAAGGTGTTAGGTTATAGGTGTATGGTGATACCATATTGCATGTAAAATTTCTGATTCAGCTTTATTTAAAATTACAGATGAAATCCTAGACCACAGATTTAATGGGACTTAATTGGACTCACAAAATCCTTGGCTTAATGACTTTTGAGAGTACAAGATATTCAGTTATCCATTACCTTTGTTTGGAGAGATAAAGGGGGAAACTGGATAATATTTACATAGTGATTGTCAGAAAATTTGAGTTAAATCTTTATTTAGCCCTTATCTAAATACCATAAAATTGAGTTCTGTATAGAGCTACCTATTAAAAATGTGAAGGAAACTTTCTGCAATGTTTATTCAGAAGTTTATTTTAAAAGTTATCTTTTAAAGTATGCTATTTTGTGACTTTGAAACTTTGATCTATTAGAGGAAATCATGTATGTGAGAATGCTTGTTAGAAAAAACCAGAAGAGTTCATTTGATGTGGTAAGTTACTTGTCATTGGAGGTGAATGACACTTAACTTGCCAATTCTGACTTTACTGTTGCTGGGCAATATTATGGGCTCATGAATATCTGGTTTTATATATTTGGGCAAGTCCCTCTCTTTTCTTGTTAACAAAATAGGGTATAATAGTATCTACCTATTGGTGTCACTGGGAGACTTAAATAAAGATACTTATGCAAGATATTTAAAACACTGCCTGGCACAATGTCAACAATTATTATTATTATGAAAGATATGTGTCCAGTCTGTGACTTAGAAAAGTATCTCCAGAATTATATTTCATAGCAGGTGACTCTTCAGAATGAAATCCAGATGTCATTTATACCCAACAAAATAAAAATCGTGCATCTCTTGCTAAATAAAGCTATTAAATTCTTACTCTTCAAAAATTAGTTTTGAAAGATAACAGTTCTAACAAATAAATTTTTAAAATCAACAAAAAGTCTTATTTTTTCAGTTTTCTGAGCAAGAAGAAATCAACAAAAGATGTGTTTTATGGAGATTGATGTCACTGCAATATATAGGGTTGTTGGAAAAAGGAAAGCCCCAAGGGCAGACACCAATGATTATTCTCCTGCAGTAGTCCAGGTGGTGACAAAGAAAATAAAGTTCTGGGTTCCATCCTCCCTCCCCTACATTCTAACTTCTAAGACAGGATCATAGTCTTCTCTTCTATTAAATCTAAGCTTTGATAAGATCTTGACGACAAGTTTGGTCAATGGTCTTGAACTCAAAATACAAGAAGAAAATGTTTTAAAGTCTAAAATGCCTTTGGTAATTTAAGGTTAAAATCATTAAAATTCTCTTATCTGTTAAATACGTTTACTAGGGCTTATGGGAAGGAGATATGCAAAGACAGAGGGTTCATCCATCCAGGCAGTTCACTAACTCATTCATTCATTTAGTTAGTCTACTACATTTATTGGAAGGTCACTATTTTTAAATGGAGTTACCAGACTATCCCAGCAAGAGTGTTAACTGACAACTGACAGCATTCTACTGTGTTTACTCTTTGAGTGATCATAAAAAAGAGCTGTGTTGTAATTTAATCAGGCTTTCCCTTAAAAAAATGTATTTTATTGTTATTTTAGTTGAGATACTTTAGTTAGATCCCAAAACATAGATATGAACCAAGGGAATATGATAGCTGATAGATTTTAGGTATTAATAATGATCTCCTTGTGAAGCCACCAGACATGAAGCTCTACTTAAATTAGAAATGAATTAGTAGATTACCATGAAAGTCTGGTAGTGAGCTCTAGAAGTATTTAAGCTGTAGGTGGCTTTCTACTGATAGTTATGGGTGAAGAGTTATTCAGATAAAGGGTTGAACTGAATGATAGTTAAGTCCTCATCCAAAATTCTATGATTCCATAAAATCTAGGTTCAGAAAAAAAGTCAAGGAGGATGATATTTGCTAGGTGGAAAGACAGTACACATCGACATTGCTTACAAACCATTGAGGCTGTGGTTGCTATAGATCCAGAACCAACAGTGGTTTGCCAATCCGAAAGTTGTCTACTTTACAGATAATCAAAACCAACATTCCCACAAGATGAAGGCTTTTGGTGCTGAGAGTCAGCAAGAATTCAGCTGAGGAAGCCATTAATCACATGGCCTGTTTTTCAGAAATGGGCCATGCTTTTTCCTTAACCATGTTTCTCAGAAATGTCTGGCTCTTCTGCTTGGAAATGAAATAATTTTTCTCATTTATAATTGGAGCTATGAAATTATATTATCTGTAAATCTTCAGGAAATAGCATTTTTCAATTGTGACTTGATTGCCAAGCAAACAAACACAAATGTTTAAAAAGACAAACATTGCAGAGCCTTAAATCAATCGTTAGAGGCAGAGGTAATGAACATGAGCCCTGGGTATATGATGCTTGACAAAACCTGGGAGATCTGCCATCAGGTGACAAGTTCACATTGTAATTCAAACCAAGCACTCAGGAACCCACAGAACAACTCAACTCTGTATTTTCATAGAGAGGAGCTTTTTCTAGTTGAATTGATTGCAGAGAGGAAAATGCAGTGCTTCTGAACTCTGCTTTCTTCCTTCGAGAAAGTTTTGTCCTATGGAAGAAGGTGCTTTACCTGACTTCACAGATCTCTTGATATGTGAACTGCTTTTGCAATAATTTCATGACTCAGAAACACTTGCTGTATTCTCCCCAATATTAGCTCCATGGAAAGAGAAAAATGGAGATTCTTTGTCTAACTTGAAGAGCCACTCTGGGGGTGTATTAGGCTGAAAAAATACCACTACTGACCCTCCCTCAGTTCTGTGACATGGTGCATGCAGATTGGTGTCTAAGTTTTTGGATATAATGCAAAGCCCACAAAAAGAAGCTACTACTTCCCATCTCCTACCCAAAATAAAGGGGGTGTAGGGAAAACCAAAAAATCACTATTCAAGTTGATCTAGATGAAACTGGCATCCATGACCCTGCTAGGGACATTTTTATCCATCTACAGACCCAAGTATATCCTGGGAGGAAGCTTAAGGAAGCTTAAACACAAACAGCATGTCTGTGTCCTGGCCCATTCACATCCTCAGTGCAG